AGTATGATGTCGGGATATAATAAACAGAATCGCCACGGCAATCAGAAAGTTAGCCTTACTCTGTCAGGAGTGATGAAGCTTCTGATAGCCCTTCTCCAAGGCCAAGCTCACGGGAGTGGCTCCTTCACGGTTGGGGACACTGAGGGCTCCTCTTCCGCCTGGCTGTTGCAAGAGGAACCACGTAAGTCGCAGCAGTCCAAGCCTTACAGCAAAATGCATCAGTGTCTCCCGGGCAACATTCTCTTGAGAGGAAGAAGAACCAGAGGAAACAAAAGGGGTTAGCTTTAATGCCATCTCTAGAAATCTCCATTACTATAAGGAGGTGGAATGAGTGAACATTTGCACTCTCATTCTCTCACATAACACACACACACACAGAGTCAAACAGCTGGTATTAAAGGCCAAAGTGCCATTGCGAGCCAAGAGGAGCTAATAATTAAATCAGTTGGGAAACATATAACAGAGAGCTTATTGGCTCAAACTCAGAAGTTGTTGATCATCCAGGCCTGATTCAAGGTGTTGACATTCGTCTAAAAAGCCCTAAGGTAAAGGTAAAGGGACCCCTGACCATTGGGTCCAGTCGCGAATGACTCTGGGGTTGTGGCGCTCATCTCACTTTTTTGGCCGAGGGAGCCGGCGTACAGCTTCCAGGTCATGTGGCCAGCATGACTAAGCTGCTTCTGGTGAACCAGAGCAGCAGCGCACGGAAACGCCGTTTACCTTCCCACCAGAGCGGTACCCTATTTATCTACTTGCACTTTGATGTGCTTTCAAACTCCTAGGTTGGCAGGAGCAGGGACCGAGCAAACGGGAGCTCACCCCGTTGCAGGGATTCGAACCGCTGACCTTCTGATAGGCAAGTTCTAGGCTCTGTGGTTTAACCCACAGCACCACAATAAACACTTTCCATAATACCTGCCTGCCTTAAGATCTGCTGTGATTCCAACCGGGTCTAAACTGAGGTAGGTGGGGGGAAACAGGGGCATGTGCCCTGGGCAGCAGGTTAGTGGGTGGCAAACTGCGTCCTGCTCAGCCCCCAATGATGATGCAGGCACGGTGTGGGGGGCGGGGCATGCCCTTGTGTGCTGGGTGACTTGAATTTGGCCCCCAGGGCTGAGGTTCTCCAACCCTACTCTGAAACAAGATACAATACAACCTCTCACTCAATATGCAATCTACATTTAAATGCCACCAAGCACTGTCCCGTTCCCAAATCAAGTAGGTAGCTAAGAGAATTTCTACACCACCTTAAAAGAAAAGCTGGCTTACTGCCTTCATTAGCAGGCTGTCTCTCTCCTTCTCATATCCCATTTCAAATAAATCAGGATTTTGGCATTGCTGAAAGGCAATATGCAACTCAAACACACTGGATTTTTCCAGGACATAGTAAGAACAACAGGCAGAAAACACTCCAGAGACAGAAAAGAACAGTCCAAAATTCTCTCGCACAAAGGAAATGCAAGACATGTAAACAAAGCGGGGCTTCTCGTTTGTTTGCAGAAGACCTACTTTGCAGTGCAGCTTTTAAGGAAACAGAATTGCCTGCATTTCTATTGATCATTACTTTTTTATACTGCACTTTGCAGAGTACTACAGAGGCAGTTCTCTGCACAAAGGAACATTATTTAAGGACACACAAACATACGCTTTAGGTAAAAAGGCTTCTACAGAAGCTTACAAAAATCAGGGCTTTTTTTATCTTAAAGATATGGCACGAAAGGAAAAAGGGATGAGGAGGGCAGCAGTCCAGTTCGCCTAATGAGTAGCTGGGATGGAAACAATTTAGGTAGCCAGATGGAACAGCGAGCACTAGGTGAACACGTGAGCGTTGACCAAAGGCAGGATCTGGCAAGGTTTTACCTGCCTGGGCTGGTCAAGTCCCACGGAGATCTCTCTGTGGGCCGGAGCATGCGCACGCAATTTCCGGCATCTGGGCATGCGCAGACACGATTTCCGGCTCTGTGAAAGCGAGTCCCCGCGCCGTGCCGGTTCAGCGCAGCGCACAGGGGGCTGGTTAAACTGCCCCTGTGGGCTGCTTGTGGCCCATGGGCCGCAGGTTGCCGACCCCTGACCAAAGGCATCTGGTCTTGGCAAAACTTAGAGGATAAGCACTGCTTCACTCTCCTCCCTCTGTTCTGTGTACAACACAATCTATCAGCATGTGTACGTATCTTCTGGATGACACCTAGCAAGGTCCGAAACAGAATGTTCCTTACCATATTCTCTCCCCATGGTTGAAAGACACCACCTGATAGTTTCATAAAATTAAATCTGAGCTGATAGGATGTTTTAGTCCTGCCATTTCAACAGATAGATAGATAGATAGATAGATAGATGATAGATAGACAGAATTTTAGATTTTATTCTATTTTAGTTTCGAGCTGGTTTTACCGTATGCATTGTTTTTTGTTGTAAATTGCTTTGAGTTACATTTTGTTTAAAAGGCAGGGGACTAATACATTCAATAAACAAATAAAATCATCTTGTCTGTCTCAGTCTGTAACCAACTTGAAAGAACTCATCTGCACTACGTGGAATGTATTGTACAGCATTTATCATCTCTGCATTTAGAACTCCCGAGGACATTTTTATTAATAATGGTAGCATTATAAATGATGTTTGCTTCTGCTACCGCATTGCTCGATAGAGCACAGCTGCAGCAATTCAATCAAGCAAAGAGCTCTGGAAGAGCACCTTGAGCGATAATAGCAGTTTATATATGATTTATGAGTTTATATAAAACAGGTTGGCTATGAGACCCACAGAAGAAGTTTCCAGTGAAAACCACAACTCTTTCTAGTTTGTCAATGAGTTAACTGTGGTCTCAAGTGTACAGGTATAAGCCAGGACTGTGTGTTTACTTGGCAATGATGATGATGATGATACAGTGGAACCTTGGTTCTTGAACAGCTTGGCTCCCAAACAAATCAGCTCCCAAACGCTGCAAACCCAGAAGTAAGTGTTCCAGTTTGCGAACGTTTTTCGGAAGCCGAACTTCCGACGCGGCTTCCGCTTGAGTGCAGGAAGCTCCTGCAGCCAATCGGAAGTCGTACCTTGGTTTTCAAACGGTTTCAGGAGTTAAACCGATTCCCGGAACAGATTAAGTTCGAAGAACCAAGGTACCACTGTGAAGCTTGTGCTCACTTCTGTGACCTGTAAAAAAAAGTATACCAAAATGCCATTTTAAAAATTTGCTTCTTACTATTTTCCATCATTTCTATCCATGGGCTGTTAGGCTGCTAAAGGAAAAGAGAAGAACAGGGAAACTGACTTTCGGGTTTGGTGGTTATGCGTCAGTAAAGGAGGGGAACTAAGGCTAAGAGAGCTGAGTGGGGGGTGCTCCTGTAATCTCACTGTATACAAGTTGTACAAGTGGCAATAAAGTATTTCAATTTCAGTTTAGGCACAAGAAAGGGAGTGGGTGAGGGACACAAGAAACTAAAGACGGGTAGCACCTTCAGTCTTGGACTTTTTATACCACCAAACCAAGTAAGTATAGCTAATCATAGGAAAATAGCAACATACAAAGCTATCTTACACTGAGTTACACCCAGTGC